CTGTGATTCTGTTCAATCTGTACCTGCTGTCTAACAAAAGCTGATTATTCATCCTTCCCTGACTACATTCCTCAACTGAATTTCACTCAAAACTCAGAGCACAATCAATACTGTATATTTTTGGCCATGAACAGGCAGTGCCTTTCTCACAGCATTACCCAAGAAAGGAAATGAGTCTTTGCAGAAGACTCAGCACACTCTGAGCTCCATTCAGTGGGCTGTGACTCAGGGACAGCTCTGCAAACTCCTGCTGGATGCAAGCGAGGGTGGACAACCAACTATTCATCTTGCAACACCTTTTTTTTTTTTAATCCTTCCAGAATTAGTGGTGCAACTCCCAAGAGCAGCTTTTATTAACTCACTCCATCATATTTTTGGGCACAGCACCAGCTCCAGAGTAAAACCTTCCCCCAGAGGCTGCTCCTGACTCAGCCTCAGGAACCACTCAGCCCCCACAAATGCAGGATGCTCACCTTGTTTTCTTGGACCTTGGTTGGAGTCGTTGTGTTGCTTTTGTTTTCTCTTTGTTGACGACGTCTAGCTGCCTCTTGTTCCTCCTGGGGACAAGGCAGGGGACATTGCACCATTTGTTTATGTGTTTATCACTTTTTAATGCAAATCATCTTCTTTCCAGGCTTCATTTTCCACAAGAAAAGGGAACAAACTTTCCCTTGCCTCAGGCCACACTCAGGTGTGAACAAATCCTTTTCCACCTCCAGAGGGGATTAAATCTCAACTCTTCCAATATTCTCCCCTCCCAGCCCCATAGTGCTGTATCAGGTTCAAGGTTTTTATTATTATTATTATTATTATCATCATCATCATCATCATCATCATCACTACCAACAAATATAATATTTACATTATATTATTGCTATATTAATCTTCTATTAAAAGTGTTAATATTATTATTATGAGTGTTGACATTGTTATTATTGTTGCTATTATTTTATATATATAATATGTAAATAATATGGTAAAATATAGATTAAAATATAGCATATACACATGATTTTCATTAAATAACAATGTCAATGATAATAGCAATAATAGTAATAATAGTAATAACACATCTAATAATAACAATAAAAATAGGATTAAAATACTATTATATCAATAATATATTTATAGTATATTAATAGTGCTAGTATTATTAATGTTAGTGTTGATATTGTTATTATTACTATTATTTAATATATATTATCTGTAAATAATATGGTAAAATATGAATAGAAATATAGTATATATACATGATTATGATTAAATAACAATAATAATAGCAATAATAATAGTAATGATACTAATACTAATAACACTAACAATAATAAGAAGAAATAAATAGATATAATTAATAATGATAATAGTATAATAATAAATAATATTGTGCACTTTAATAGCTTCCCACGTCCCCAACATTTCATGGTGACACATTAAAAATCTTGCACAACTGGAAATGGCAAAGCCATTAATCACCATCTCATTCAACTTCAGCCAAGTTTTTTGAGGTGACTAATAAAGAAAAACCAGCAACTTTTCAGGCTGATTTTCTCCCAGGCTGACAGGAAATTTCCCTGTTCAGAAAAAAAATCTCTATTTCTCTCAGAAAAAAAAAAAAAAAAAACTTCTTTTAGACAGGAAATTTCCAAGGGCTCAGTCAAAGCCTTTCCTGCACCTTCCAGAGGTTTAATCTGCTTAAGATTTCTGGTATTTCCAAAACTCCTTTGATTTAGGCACATTATCAACCAAACCAGTGGCAGATTTAAGTGTGAAAAGCAGGGAAGGTCAGAAGTACTCTGATTTTTATTTTATTTTCTCTAAGAAGTCTTTTTTGCCCCAAATTTGAGTGGAGCAATCTGAAATAATTCCCTTTCAGAGCCCCCATAAGTCTGTTCTTAACAGAGCCAGTCAGCCTGAGGATGAACATTCACCTGAAATTTTAAATTAAGTGGCCTCACTTAATTCTCTCCCTGGGAATCCATTGATTATTTCAGGTTAACCCAGCCCTGCACAGCCCCAAAAACTCTCTGGCATTTGAATTCCACATGTAACAGCCCAGACTGCAGCAAATGACAACTCACTCTGTGCCTCCAATGGCACATCCCAAAAGGAACATTTGAGAGCATTGCTCAGCTTCATTTCAGGAGCTGAGCTCTGGGACAGATTCAAACCATCATTCCCTTCTTTAATTCCAGTTCTTTAATGAAGAAATAGCTCATTACAGACCTCCAGTGCAAGGTAAAAGCACCTTGGGGCTGCCCCATTAATTCTCTATTAGAAATCCCTTGGACATGATTGAATTAGTGCTTGATGGCATCTGAGACTTCCCTTCAATTAGCTCCATGTTCTTTGCCTAGCAAGAAAATCTGATTTCCAATCAATTCTGTCCACCTGTGATTAAATTCCTCACAGTGGCTGCTCCCTTAACTCTGAGTTTTCTACAGAAAATGATTGAAACTCACTTACCCTGAGTTTTGGATTTTTGAGACTAGAAAAATAGTTTTCAAGCTGAAAATAGAAACAGAAGAGAGTCATCCTCAAAACCATGACAGATGAACACAGAAGAATAAAATATTAGCTTAAAACAAGTGCAGAACTGCAGAAATTGTGACTGCTTTGCTTTGATAAGCTCCATCAAGAAGCCATTTACATTCATTCTTTTCAGGCACCCAGCCTGTTGTGTAACAGGGCATAATCCAACCTCTACAAGGTTTTATCATCCCCACCACTCCTGGCCTTGTTTTAGAGCTTTGTGTCACATATCTCCCCTCAGCACAGGCTGATTTTCAATGAAATTGTTTGCACTGAAGCTGCTGCACCCTCATACTCCACCATTTATCTGCACTCTGGCACATTCCTGAACAAAAGCTTTATTAGACTACAGCAGAGGGAGGAAAACAGCATTATTATCCCACTGCAAAAACCTTGGGGTTGGATAAATGATTTGGATAAAAATTTCCTCCATGAAATTTTCAGTTTTCAAAGGGTTTGTTGGGTTTTATGAGGGGCTTGGGGGCTCTTTGGTGTTGGGGTTGGTGGTTTTTTGGTGGGGGCTGTTGTATGGGTTATTTATTGTTGTTATTTATTTATTCTGTTGTTGTTAGTTGGTTTGTTGGGGTTTTTGTGTTTAATAAAAAAAAAACAGTGAATGCATCATTGTCATGGAGCTTGGGCTGCTTCTACAGCAGCTGAGAATTTTACTAAAATTGAGATTTACTGGTTGAATATGACTGAATAAAATGGTCTGTGCACCACGGAGGAATCAAAGCCCCACTGAGTCTTTCCTTTGTGAGGAAAGGACAGCAGCAGAGCCCAGTTCTGAGCAGCTAGAGAAGGAATTTCATCAGTGAATCTCTGCAGCTTCAGTAAACCAGCCCTGCCCTCAACCCCAGGGTGCGTGTGCAACCCTGGAGCGGGCGGTTTGCACACTCAGGTGTGTAACCCACAAAGGGACAGGAACACAAGGCCAGGCAGAAGGATGAGGAGCTGACAGGGCTGCCAGGAGCAGGGCACAGGCAGCCCTGGTACTCACTATGGTTCTGTCAATGGTGTGCAGGTAGTAGGAGACTGGCTTCCCTGTCCAGGACACAGAGCCCTTCAGTGGTGACAGCTCCACAACCCTCATGATAGTGCCAATATCTGTGGGAGGAGACAGCACCTGGTTAGGGGACACAGTGACAATTTTGGGCACTCTCAGCACTCCAGCATCTCGCCCTGCCATNTTATGTTATGGGATATTACGGGATATTATGGGATATAATATGATATTATGGAAAAGGATATTATATATATATTATGGCATTATAACATTATATAATGTTATTCATAAATAAATATATATTATATATTATAACATAATATATTTATTATATAATATATAATATTATTATATATTATATATTATATATTATATATTATATATTTTATATTATATATTATTATATAATATATATTATATTATTATAATATAATATAATTATTATATAATATATAATAATAATATTATTATTATTATATAATATCAAGAAATAACAAATCAACTTTCTGAAAACTTGAAATAATTTCACATTTTTCACCTCATCTTGAAAACCCTCACAAATCCACAACAGAGTGATTTCCCCAGGATTAAGAGAATGGTTTCGTTTCAAATAAAGCTGTTTCTGACTAAATCCAGGCTCACTGCCTGTTGTGCCACAGGAGAGCTGAAGCAACATCAGAGAATCAATGCACAGTGAAACACCAACTTCAGCAGGAGTGGGGGACTTGTGCTGCTGCCCAAGGATGTTGAACTCAGAACTCAGGTTCTGAATTGTTGCTGGAATGGCTCTTGAGCTATCAAAACTCTTTTTTTTCTTAGCTTCAGGCTCAAAGAAGTTGGGATTCTTCAGCTCTGCTTTTCAAGGCTGTTAATTTTTTTTTAACTAATAAATTCTTTCTCTGACCTGCTGAGATCTGCCCAGCAGGTTGGGTTGTGGCACTCTGACCACCCTTGGGGTGGTGTTGGCTTTTTATACCAAAAACTACGTGTACTTTATTTACAATAATTTTCCAATACCTACCACCTATGTTAGACAGTCTGGCTCTACTCTAAACCAACCCAGAAGTGCCACCATCACAGCAGAAGATGGAGGACAAGAAGAAGGAGAAAGAAGGACAGGACATGCCCAAATTCTTCTATCTTGCTTCTTGAACCCTCATTCTAAAAACTCTAAAATTCTACATTTTCACTTGGTAATAAATTCACTATCATTCTATTCAAACCCTTGTGGCTTGTAACCCTTCACACAAAGTTGGGAATTGTTTCCATGGGCTAAAATGGAAGGCACAGGTGTTTGTGACTCCGTGCCAAGGTTTTTGAGCCCTTTGCCAGAGTCTGGAGTGCTCCAGGGCAGCCAGAGCAATGTCCTGGGCTCTGACAGATGTGGGGCAGGCAGGGGAAGGTGGGGAAGAGAGAATCCCATTCTACCCCATAAAAAACCCCAAAGGGGGTGGGCAGGCCTTACCTAGCAGCTTCTGTAGTGCAGGGGGGGTGGGTGTCACCAGGAGCTGGTTGGACGAATGCCGTTGCACTTTAGGAGGTAGTTGGAAAAATGGGCTATGAGGTGACTTGTAGGCATCTGGAGAGACAAAAACACAACCTCAGGTCAGCACCCAGTGTTTGGGACAAGGACAGGAGCTTGGCCACTGAAAACATGGCACAGAATNGTATCCCCACAGGGGGATGAACCTCCTTTGCCCCAGCTCCCAGGGCAGCTCAGCACCCCAATTTCTCCCTGCACAGATGCTGTGGGTGCTGCACAGTATCCCCACAGGGGGATCAACCTTCCCCAAGCATCTCCATGGCTCCAGCTCCAGGTGCTGGCTCCGTGCCCAAGGCAGAGCCAAACCCAACCTTGGCCCCGCCACAGCCTCTGAGCAAAGGGGATGCTGCTGCAGGCTCCTGGCTGCTCCCAAAACAGTCCCAGAGGAAAAACACGTGCAGGAGCACACGTGTGAGGAAGAGGAGGATTTGGGGGGGGTGGAGAGCATCCCGTTTGCCCTGGCCCCGGGCACTGGGGCGTCCGTCAGCACACGGAGCCTGGGAATGGCGGTGCCTGAGTTGACTTTGGCATTGCCCAGCCCAGCCCCCAGGCCTGGAGGGGGTCCAAGAGCCCCATCCTCCCCTGGCACTGCCCCTGGCACCCCTGGGCATCAGGGGCTGACACCAGGCAGACACCAACTCCAATATTCACATGCCCTCTGAACAGAGAGTCAGAATTCTCTCTTTCAGGTTTTTCCCTGGAGAAGCATAGAGGGAAAACAATTCTCATCTCATTTACTGCTCCTGTTGTTTTGTGAACGTGTAGAATGTGTTAGAAGATTATTTACTTAAAAAATTGAATTATTAGATTCTAGTGAAAGCGTTTTAATTTATAAACCAATTAGATCCATGTTATGTGTGTCAGGACTGACAAGTGACAGTCACAAGCTATCAGTAGTAGCTAAAAGTAAGAAGTTAATATAATATAATATAATATAATATAATATAATATAATATAATATAATATAATATAATATAATATATAGAATATATAGAATACAATATGCCATAACAGAATATAATAGAATATTATTTTATATTAGATATTATATTATATTATATTATGTTATATTATATGGTATAGTAAGATAAAATGTAATACAATATAATGTAATGTATAATGCTATAATATGCTATGCTATAATGTAATAATAATATAATAAAATGTAATATAATATAATTAATATAATATAATATAATATAATAATTAATATAATATAATATAATATAATAACATCACATAACATAGAATAATATAATATATAGGATAGAATATGCTATAATAGAATATTATTATATTAAATTACATATTATATTATATTTATTATAAATTATACTGTGATATTATATTATATGGTATAGTATTATATAGTATGATATAATATGATATAAATATTTTCATTAATGTAAAATACAGCTTTAATAAAGTGAGTATTCAGCATTCCAGAGCCATGGACTCAGATGCCAATCATTTTCCTTGGTCAGGAGTGCTCTGATTTTACAATACCCAACACAGAGAAATCTGGTTTGCAGACCCTCCAGGAAAAAACACTGCTGGGAGTTTCAAGGGAATTCCTTCCTCTTTTGCTGCGTGCACCTCACAGGAAAGCAACGTGTGGGACGTGCACCTTTGAGCCAGCCAGTGCAGAGTGAGCTCGTTCTGGCCAGCAGAGCTGTGTCCCAGACTCTTCTCCAAGGAACACCACATGTGTGTGACAGGGATGAATTAAAGAGCCCCAGAGCGTCACCAGCCCAGCCCCTGTCAGCTGCAGCTGCCCTATATTTGGACTGGGCACAAACATGTTTTGGGTTTGCTTTCTTGTCTATATTTGTTTTGTTCTCCAGAATTAATAGCTTGGGGATGTGTCTTGAACATTCCCACAAGCACTGAGCCAGTGGCTGGGCTGCAGGAGAAATTATGGCACGTTTCTAATTAAATAAAAATGACCCAGAAGAGGCCAAAAGCAAGGTTTGGGATTCAGCAACCTCAACCACTATTTTAACCACATTTTAATACTTGTTTTCATTGGTCCCAACTCTTTCCATATTTCCAGTTCTTCCCACACATGGAACTACTAAGGACAAAAGTGGAATTGAGAGAACTGGTTCCTCCTTCTTAAAGCTTGATCTTTCCCAGGGTTTTGTATAAATTATTTAAATATTCATACTCCAGATCAGAGTATTTGACAGACAGGTGAGACGGGACTCAAGGCATGTTCAGGCACCAAAAAAAGCCTTGATGAATAAAAGTGTGATGGAAATCCTTGTGGGACATTCCCTGCTCCATGAGCAGGACCCTGGCCCTGCTGGGGATGGCATTTCCCTGCGAGTGTCACTTGGAACAGGCCCCAGCCCCAGCACATCCCACACAGGCTCATTTGATGTTGGTATTTACCAACATAACATGGTCTTAGAAAGGGATTAAGCCCTAAAATTTACTCACACAATTCCCCCTCAAAATAATTTTTTAAGGACCTTTTATCTGAATCCCTGGAAGTTTCCTACTGGTGGAAGCTGTTGGTTCTCCTTTTGCTAGAGCCTCTCACAATCCAAACTCCAATTCATCATCTCAATATAATTTTACCATCAGCATTTCCACTCAGCATGAAATAACAGCTGAGATCTCAGAGTTCAGCATTCTAGAAAAGATTCCAAATGAATCCAGGCTGGGCTGGCAGCTGGGATGGGATGAAGGTCTGGCCCAACTGGCAGGGCTGTTCTGGGGTGAAACAGCAGCACAAGCTGCCCTCAGTCTCCCAAATGCAGCAGAGAGAGAGGGAATGGGAAAAATTCAGGGAAGAAAAGATTTGAGAGGCCAAAGCTCTGTATTTTTGTGGGCAGGTCTAATTGAAACATCTCCAAGTGCAGTTCTGGATTTCCTCAAGCTCTGGTGGGCTCTGCAAGAGGATCCAAGCTTCACTCAGGCTCTGTTTGCCTCATCAGCAAACTGACAGCCTGCTCCCAGCTCTCCCAGTTGTTCCAGGAGCATCATTCCACCCTTTTTCCCTTTTATTTTCAACTCCATGCCTCCAAAGAATTGGCAGTCCAGCACCCAAAACTCAATAAGTTTCCAAACCACCAGAGGCCCCAGAAGAGAATTTTAAATAGGGAAGAAAAGTGCAGGTTTGGGTGCCTGATGTGTGGTACATCTACAAGAATTCAAGCTTAAAAATAACTCCCAAGGGCTCAATTTACCTCATGACAGTCCAAAAATTACTGTTCTTCAAAAGCAGCTTAGGCCAAAATTAGACAGCACAGTTTGAGATTTGGAACTCAGTGAGCTGCTCCCCACGTTTGCACAGGGAGGGAATGAGGGGGGTTTGATTTAAGGAAAATTTAGCACTGGACTAAATTTTATACAGTAAATACATGTAAAGCCCAGCTTGGACTGCTCTTCTGCTTGAGAAATTTAATTTAAAAACCTGAACTGGAAGGGACCCACAAAGAACATCAGTCCAGCTTCTGCACAGACAGCCCAGGTTCAACAGTCAAAGTCTGAAAAGATCAAACCCAACCACATGGAATGTCCTAAAAGCTCCTTAAACTGCAGCTCATGTCCTTGCAGAGGACAAGGCTGCCAAACATCGAGTCTGGCCTGTTCACAGGGGAAGGAAACCACGACCCTGTGCTGGCAATGAGCCAGACCCGGGGCCTGGGTGTGTCTGGGAGAGGTTTGTTTGCTCAAAGCACAGCACAGAAGTTCAAAGCTGAACATTTCACACAGTCCTGGAATGGTTTGAGTTGGGAGGGACCTCAAAGCCCATCCAGTGCCATGGCAGGGACACTTCAACCATCCCAGGCTGCTCCCAGCCCTGCCCAGCCTGGCCTTGGGCACTGCCAGGGATCCAGGGGCAGCCCCAGCTGCTCTGGGAAATCCATTCCAGGCATGGATTCCACAATTCCTGATTCCCAATCTCCCACCCAGCCCTGCCCTGTGGCAGTGGGNGGCACCTCAGGACTGAGATGCTGAGATCCGACAACATCCATCACCATCAATCCCACCACCACCACCTCCTAAAGGACAGCTCTGCTCTGGTGACAACATGGAATTCATGCCACAAAACCCAACCCAGCCTGGCCACAAAGGAACAACCAGCACATGCAGAGCTTCAGAGACTCATCCAGGCTCCTGCACAGCCCTGCACTCACCCTGAGGAGAGGATGAGGATGTCTGGGAGACAGTCTGAGCATGCAGAATTTCTAGTGCAGTTTGGTTCTTCTTGGTCTTGCGCTCAGTGCTCGCCGTGTTCATTTTCTTGGGGCGCCCTCGTTTCCTCCCCGCCATTTTCCTGCCCTTCTTGCTCAGCTTCTTCTTCCTGGCCTTGGAGGGAGATGGCTTTTTAACAGAATTTGCTGCAGCTTTTTCTTCTTCAGCACCAGAATCCTGAGGGGTTGTGAAAAACTTTGGTCATTTCTACCTCATAATGCAACATTCCTTTTCAGCAAACATTCCTAATGGTGTTTTATTTTTATCAATGAAACACATTTTCTGATATATTATATATATATATGATATATCATATCACAAAAAATGGTGTTTCATTATTATTCATGAAATATATTTCTGATATTATATATAAAATATATATGATATATTTCTGATATTATATATAAAATATATAATATTTTAATATATAAAATATATAATATATAAAATATATTTATTAATGAAATCTATCTCTGGTATTATATATATATCAGAAAAAATGGTGTTTCATTTTTATCAATCAAATATATTTCTGATATGATATATAAATGATATATCAGAATTAATGGTGTTTCATTTTTATCAATCAAATATATTTCTAATATTATATGTATGTGATATATCAGAAATAATGGTGTTCCATTATTATTGAAATATATTTCTGATATCATATATATATAAACATTANCCCCTGTGAGTCAGGGCTGCTCTTTGTGGCTCAGGGAATGATTCACACCCTTGAACTCCTGATTTCTCTGCAGCTCAGGGACACATTGATGGAACCAACACCAAACCACAGCAGCACAAACCCCATCAAAAGAGTCTGCTCCTCTCTTTAAATTGATTCTAAATTGATTTTTAAATTGTCCTCTCCTCTTTTTAAATTGATTTTAAGTACCTGTCACTTCATGTGCTCTATCAATCCAACAGCATTTTCTACTTAAACAACTCTAAAATGCAGTAACACCCCCCCAGACATTTTCAGATAATGAACATCCACAACTGTAATGAACAATAAAAAGGGCAATCATACCACTCAAGTTTCGACTGTTAATTCTAAAATTTAGAGGTGCAAAAGGTTTTGAGGACACAATTCTCCCACCTGGAAAAAGAAGAAAAAACAAAAAAACAAAGAGCACAGTCAGCTCCTTTATTTGTTCTAGAAGTAACTACTTATTAAATATAACCCAGTACAGAGCCCTAAAGAGCAATCCTATAAAACTGCCCCTGGTATAGCATTAAAAAATAAATAAATCCCTTAATTCTCATTCTGAGAGCTTCAAGAAAGCAAATCTATGAATCCTGCCAGGTGACACCTCAAGGATCATTTAAAATGACAGATTTGAAATGCTTGGAAAAAAAAGAGCAATGTTAATTCTCAGTGGCAATCTAAAGAAATTTCAATTATCTCCATCCTACTTGGGATCTTTCATACACAAACCCCAAAAGCCTTTTAATTTAGAGGCCACTAATCTTCATTTCATAGGTATTTGGGGTCATTCAGCAGAGCCTGAAGCACACTCTGGGAAGAGAAATCAGGTTTCATCATTGTAAAGGGTTCTTGAAACATCTCCACCTTCCCACTGCTCTCAAGCCACCATTAAACAAGTTTGAAAACTAAAAAACAATCCAGTTAAATTAAAGAAAACAGCTTAAGTTTGGGGGTTTTATGGTTTGCAGCAGAGCCCAAAAGTCCCATTATTTATTTCAGCACAAAGCTCTGCCATGGGAAGCCACAGCTGCTTTCTTCACACCACATATTTTTCTTTTCAGAAATTGTTATTTCTGTCATTTCTGCCACAACCAAGTAAAATTGTTGCTTTTCCCAGTGGTTAGGAGCAAAGAAAAGACACCCAGGGCAATGGAGAGGCCAGGATGGGGTTAGGGGGTGTCCCCAGGGTGCAGTGAAGCTTCTCAGGAGCACCCAGTGACACTGGGCAGGTTTTTATGAAATTGTGGAACCATTAAGGTTGGAAAAGACCTTAAAAATCATCCAGTCCAACCATCAAAGTCCATCCCACTAAACCCTGTCCCCAGGTGCCACCTCCCCACAGGTTTGGAGCATTTCCAGGGTTGGGGACTCGAGCATTTCCAAAATCAGGAGTTAACACCCGGCTCTAAATGAGCCAACTCTGAACAGGAGAGGTGAATTCTGTATGGAATTACAGCCTGGCCTTCCAAAGCTGTGCCTCTGCAGCCAAGAATCATGGAATGGCTTGGCTTGGAAGGAGTTTAAAGCTCACCCAGTGCCACCCCTGCCATGGCAGGGACACCTCCCACTGTCCCAGGTGCTCCAAGCCCTGCCCAGCCTGGCCTTGGGCACTGCCAGGGATCCAGGAATTTGGCCTTGGCTGTTGGGTGTTTTGTGGGCTCCCAAAAGAGGGAAGGATGGACCAGCAGCTCCTCCCACCCCAACCCTGCTGCATTTTCCCAGCAGAGGGGATGCTCCAAGGAGCCAGGCAGGAGTGGGCAGACACCAAGGGGGGAAGAACAAATCCATCTGTGCTGTGGCCCCAAGGCACAGAACAAACCCCAAGGCCTGGCTTTGCCAGCTGGATCTGAGCCTCCCTCCCAGCCCAGCTCCCACAGGAGTCAGAAAACAAGGAGGAAACATCTCCAGTTGGATTTACCTTCCTTCATGTTGGCAAAGCGCTCCTTCAGCTGGTGATCCACCTCGGGCCCGAAGGCAAAGTTATTCACAAAAATAACACTGCAAAACAAGGATCCAGTCAAAGATCAGAGCCAGGAACACCCCACAAGGACCCCCAGCCACAGCACAGCCACCTGGAGCCTTCCCAGCCACTCCTGCCATGGACAAACCTGCTTGTCCCAAACTCTACAGCTCCTGTAACCCAAAACATGGAGAGCAACACTCAGCTCTTCATAGTGGGGATTAAAATCTTAGAGCAAAATATCAAAATGTATTTTAGAATCATAAAATTATTTGGTTGGAAGGGACCTTAAAGCCCATCCAGGGCCACCCCTGCCATGGCAGGGACACCTCCCACTGTGCTCCAAGCCCTGTCCAACCTGGCTTTGGACATTTCCAGGGATTTGGGGCTTCCACAGCTGCTCTGGACAATCTGTTTCTCTTCCAGCTCCAAATTCCCCATAATGCCAGAAAACAGTGACCTCTGAGCACATTTTCACTGTCCTAAACCCAGCACTTCAGCCCTACAGAGGAGTTACATCTTTCCTTCTGGGTTAAGAAATTCAATGAGGGGAGGGGTTGTTCCTGGAAAAAAGCAATCATATGGAAACAAAGAAATCTGCACAGAGGTAGAATCCCACACATGATAAAAGGGCTTGGGAAAGAACCAGAACATGCCACAGATTAAAAAATAGACACTCCTTTGGTTTAAAGGTCTAATCAGCCTGGATTAATTGTCCCTGGTGCCCATTTGGTGCCCAGGCTGCAACAAGAGTCCTCAACACCTCTTGGAAGTGTTTGAGCTCCCTGCTGAATGAACATGCCAGGCCTTGGCATGGAGCTCAGGGCAAGGTTCTGCCCCCCAAGACTGCTGGGCACTGCCCAGGCTGCCCAGGGAATGGTGCCAAGGCTGCCAGAGCTGCAGGAGTGTTTGGACACAGAATTACAGAATTCACACAATCACACAATTCCTGAATCACTGGGCTGGAAGAGACCTCCAAGATCATCGAGTCCAACCCAGCCCCAACCCCTCAACTGAACCCTGGCACCCAGTGCCACATCCAGGCATTGTTAAACACACCCAGGGATGGGGACTGCACCACCTCCCCGGGCAGCCAGTGCAGAACTTATCAACCTTTCTATGGAAAACTGAAAGAATGATGAATTTTTCCTAATACCCCACCTAATATCCTAATTAGTTTTTTCCTAATATCCTACCTATAGGATAGGATCTCACCAACTTCCTAATATCCAACCTATATTTTTTTCCTGCTCTCCAACCTGTATTTCCCTTGGCACAGCTTGGGGCTGTGTGCTCTGGTTGTGTCAGTGCTGCTGCAGACAGAGCCCAGCCCAGCTGAGCACAGGCACCTTTCAGGAGCTGCA